CCCCCCCTTCACTACAACCCATGTCTAAGCAAAAGCTTGTCGAGGAGCGAGGGGAATAAGGGAGAAGTACTGGGGTATAAACGCGCCGCGACCCGGCAGGGCGGGGGGTCCGCAGAATAGCACACATCAGCTGGAGGGGGTGAATGACCCGTCCGATAGCTGGGTCGGTGCACCTTCTGTTTTGCTATTGTAGTTGTCCCTTCTGCCTACGCTCTCTCTCGCTAACTTCCTTGTGTGGTGTGTGTGGATCCTCCTGTGTGTGTGTTTTCGGCATGAAATCTACTGGCAGCAGGCCTGATTGTTTGGTATCGGAATAATACACCCCCGGCTGTGTCGTGCTCGTTTCGGTTCGGGAACTACCATCGCCTACGGTATCTCCCCGCATTGTCTTCGAGGGTATTCGGTTGGGGGAGTGACCGCATTCCAGCTCTCTCTCACACGAGACGATGGCGCAGCCAGCTGTCGCCCATGGTGGAGGCAATGCTCGACGTGAAGCTCCGCACTGGACACACACCTACGACAAATGGGATGGCTGGCAGGTGAGCCCGCGGTACACGCACATGAAGAACTCAGCAACAGCTTGCAGATCATTAGCACATGGACCATTTCTTTGAAGCGCATGATCGAACAGGAGGAGGATCGGAGGAGCCCGTAACATGACCGCACAATCACTCTTTCATCTTGCGTCGTAGACATCCGGTGGGGGCGGTGGGAAGTATTGGTTCTGGTTGGCGGTGCTGTAGACAACGTTCTGCATATATGAGCCGTATTCTGTAGATTAGACGATGTACAACTGCTGTCGTACGCCCCCCAAGCAGCTTCCGGCGGCCGCACAAACGACGGCTCAAAACCCATAGATCCATGGTACATACAAAGAGCGTGCTATCGGTGCTGCAGTGCTTAGCCATGGAGCGGCAAAATACCATCCGCCAAATACACGATGGCTGGAACTCTCAATGTATTGCCCTCGTGTTCAAGCTTGATTGATCCGTGAACCCCGATATTTTGGCTGCAAATCGTCCGTAGTGGCAGCAAGCAGACATGAATCCGCGGTGTATCGGTAGGTTAAAGGGGGTCGACCGACACACACAAGCTTCTCTTGTTTCGTGTAGCACGCCGATGGTTGCCGGGCAATGCAATGTACTCCACAGCACCACAAAAGTACGGAGATGCTGGTGTATTTACTGCGTCCCCAAGACTCAAAATTAAAAAGGGAAAACGACACAACAGGGTATACCCTGGTCAAGAAGCGACACACCTGGGTACACAGTAACCCCGGTCGCCCCGGTGGTCTAGTGGGTAGCCTCGCAGCCTGCTAAGGGCCAGGTCATGGGTTCGTTTGTTAGGAAACCATAATCGACTTCGTAAGTCGCAAGGGAAGGGATTGCTGTACCCTTCTCGCGATAAAAATACCTCAGGCAGGAACCGCAGGAGGGGTCCAACCCCCCCCTCCTATGTGACCCCGGTTGGGTCGTCTAGCTAGTAGAAGTGGAGGATAGGGGCCAGAGGGGCAGACGACAGAGTCCAATGATGGGAGAAAAAAAAAAAAGGTCATTAACAGCAGTAAATGCACTCATATCATTGGTCAACGCCCAATTTCACCCCGGTGCGTCCGAAAAGGCGCAGGGTATACCCTGCCGTGACTGCATTTCTCAACAACTAGTCTATACCCTGTTTTCCGAAATGTGCCCTGACCTGACGGGAAAAGCTACCCTTTCATCAATCATTTCCCCCGCAGGAATCTTCCCAACTCCTTTTCCCCTCCAACCATGGGATACCAAACGGCGAATCTTCATGCCCAATAACAATCATGGCAACGGGGCCAGGAATCAGTTTCCGCCCCTGCGAAACAACACCAACCATCAACTCTTCCGCTCTAAATCAACAATGGCCGGGCAATACCCCAGCACAATTGTTCCGTTTGGAAACGTGCACACACGCGTACAATACCCCGTGGACTACTGCTTGCTGCAGTCTCTATGCGAGATGCACGGGTCACGCTGTGAAAGCGAGACCGATCCAGCATGTTTGACATGGATAGCATGTGCCAATGTGTGGCGCTGTGCTGGCGGCGAGCTCGCGCCGCAGAGGGAGAGGCAGTACCAGCACACACAGACACGCCCTTGACATCAATCACGCACACACGAGTCTTATTCTTACTCTGGCAGCACGACACGCTGTGTCGTCCAAGTCAATCACCCTCCCTGTCGGTAGGGAGAAGAAAGAGTGCTCGCGTTGTATTTCATCGGCTCATCCCGCTGAAGCCTGACGTCTTCTTCTTACATTGATTGAATGGCCGGCTTGGTTGGCTGGTAAGCGTGACCGCTGCTGCTACAGCAGTAGTTCGAGCAAGAAAAACATCGCGATTGAGACACAACAGACAACGCACGCACGCACACACGGCACATCGCAATTGAGACACACAACAGATACCACACGCACGCACACATGCATATGCATGCCAACCATGCTGGATCGGTCTCGCTTTCACATCGTGACCCGTGCATCTCACATAGAGACTGCAGCAAGCAGTAATCCACGGGGTATTGTACGCGTGTATGCATGTTTCCAAACGGAACAACTGTGCTTAGGTGTTGCCCGGCCATTGTTGATTTAGAGCGGAAGAATTGATGGTTGGTGTTGTTTCGCAGGGGCGGAAACTGATTCCTGCCCCGTTGCCTTGGTTGTTATTGGGCATGAAGATTCGCCGTTTGGTATCCCATGGTTGGAGGGGAAAAGGAGTTGGGAAGATTCCTGCGGGGGAAATGATTGATGAAAGGGTCTCTTTTCCCGTCAGGTCAGGGTATACCCTGCGCCTTCTCGGATGCACCGGGGTGAAATTGGGCGCTGACCAATGATATGAGTGCATTTACTGCTATTTATGACTGTGTACCCAGGTGTGTCGCTTTCGAGCAGGGTATACCCTGCTGTGTAGTTTTCCCAATTAAGAAAACACCCGAAACAAAGCACCAAAACAAGAATATTAAAACAAACAACACAACGCCAAAACAATACACACCCAACTATTTCGTCCTATTCTGTCTCGGGGATATGCGGTCACGGACAAGGCGGAGACCAACATTGCAGAGATGCGGTAGGCTGTGTGTAATTCTTCTTGTGTATTTTGCACCTCTCTCGCGTGTTTTCGGATCGTGCTACACGCCCCCTCGCAAAAAACACCTGCTGTAAAGTGTACAAGTGTATCGTGAGCAAGGCCCAAAGCCTCACAGCAATGCCCCAACGATTGAGTAAGGCATTTGCTAAGCTAGGCTGTAGTGGTGCCGGCGGTTGAGCTCAGTTTCGTTTTCGTTGTTGGAAAGAAGTACGCATTGTACGCTGGAGACTTTCGTGCTAGAGGCTAGAGCAACCCCTGCCATCGCCTGCGCCTCCATCCATCCGAAGTGTTGCTCACGATGTGTAGGGTTCATTTGAAGCTGGCCTTACCATTCCTTCTACGCCATGTGAATATCGATGCAGACGCCAGCTATCCCCACCAAGAGACACATACAGCCCGAAACCTCGCCTCTCTGATGTCAACTGATGCTCCGATGTCGCACCTCCCCTCCCCCGCTTGCTGATGATCGACTTTGATCCCCGTGTGGCATGGCACCAAGGATCCTGACGAATTGGCCAAGAAGCGTGAAGAGGATGAGAAGCGGGCAAAGAGCTACCGGGAAAACCACATGGCCTGCGCTCACGACCGCTCTGCAGTGAGTGCTCGTTCGGTGATTGTTGTCGTAGTTGCTCTTGTCTTCAACTATTATACCGTGCTGGTCTCTGCCCAGTGCTTTGTACCCTCCGCCCCGGTCCAACGGACGCGGACTCCTTTCGTGGCAACAGACCAACTACGCGCAATACCCTTCAAGACACCAAAAAGGAAAAATAACGAAGACGCAGGAAATAATCAATGCGCGATAGTAGGGCACGGAACAACCCGGGGACTTGGGATCAGCGGTTCCGTTCCTCAGCCGTGTTTGTGCCGTTTGCCTCGTAGCATGTAGCATGACCACTTAGTCACCCACCGGTAGACGTACACCCTGCTTCATTCTCGACGTGATATCTCTCCCTCATGCCTCATGCCATGTTCGTGCAGACGCTGAGAACGACGTCATGGAGGAGTAGTCTACACCTGTACCATCAGCATTTTTTGCCGCTTCGACGACTTCCCCCCTAGAGACGACCCTGAACGAGAGCTATGCGGTCCAATCACCGAACACGTCTTGTCACCGCTGTCGGCTGTGCTGCGTGGTCCCACATCCCTTTAGGAAAGGAAGGTGATGGAGGTGCCGATCGAGGAGAAGATTTCAGCATGCCGAGACTTCAGACAGGGAGGCAACCTTTTCCATGCCGAGGGCCAGGGCTCTGCAGTATCGGCAGGTGGAGAGAGGTGCTTTCATTTGACGGAACCCCCATAGTAGAGCTACATAAATGGGTAGGCGACCGAAACGAAATGTCAAGGTTTCTTCGGTGCAGATGACTTTTACGATGGAGTGGTCATCTCGTGCTTGGCTACGTTTCTTTCGGGCGGTTCGCAATGTTTATCCCGGATGCCAACATTCTTCGGAGAATGCCAGGTTGATTCAATCGAGGGCATGTCCATCTAGATTAAAGGGAAGCGCCTACCTTCGTTACTGCCCTCACATATGGGTGGAATTTGACGTGCCTTGGTCCGTGTCCTATCTCCCCTCCAATTACCAAGGTAGACGGTATCATTTGCAAATGGAAGCTGATTCTTGTCTGCTCGCGCATTCGGGTTGTCGTGACACCGGAGGAATCGACTTTGACGTTTCCCCTCTTATCCGGAGATGCGGACACCTCCTTGAATCGGATCGACAGCCCCTGCTAGACCGATCGTTTTTTTTTTACATCGTGATGTATGGGTTACTCACTCGAAGCCATGAACCACGGAGGGACTATGTTTTGTGACACAAGCTGTTGTGTGGCTACGATCTACAGCAGTTGGAAGTGCACCACGTCAGACGCACACGACTCTATCTTACACCCCCCCGTTACCGATACCCGCGCTCCCGACGCGCAGGCCTTGATTTACTACGACTTCTGCTTTCCGGACGACGACTCGCAGCAGCAGGAATTAGATGACATTCGGCAGGCGTGTCTCCTCAATTCTGCGGCGTGTTTTCTGGCCTGTGGAGAGCTCGATCAGACATTGGACTGCTGCTACCAGGCAAGCTGCTGCCCTCTCGCTCACTTTCTCGGCCGCGCGCGCGTGTGTGTGTGTGTGTGTGTGTGTTTCATCATGAGAATGTCGAGGATTGTGACTCTTGGGCTTGATCTTGGGAGGAAAAGCGGGGGAGGGTGTCTCTTACTATGAGTGGTTTAGCTTGATGCTAGGTCATCGCTGCATGCGTCCTATCGTTTTCTTTTTTTTTGTCCTTCGGGCGGCTTGCAACGGTCATGGTCACTGTCGCTATCGTCGTTGTTGCGCCGTGAGGTTGGGCGCCCGGTTGTTTCCTTCTTTGCTGTAGTCGTGGCATGTTGCTCGTTTGCTCGACATGCTGCACTCCTGTATAGTAGTCCGCTTGAAACGCCGAAACGCAAGCTGGTGGGGTATGCTTGCTGCGAAATCTGCCACTGTGACAGGATGCCTCGTGAGCTGAGCCATGGGGAGTTGTTGTACGCTATTCCACCATACACTGCAACAACTGCACTCAGAAATATCGCATGGACCGTTCGAATACGTTGAGTGATTGTTGAAGGGGGTACAGGATCAGGTACCGTGTATAGGTGGTACCAGCGTTGACTTGGGGTCACGGCTGTCCTGATCGGGCCCAAAACTCGCATGACTTCGAGTATTGCACGAACTCTAAATGATGAATTGAGAAATCGCTCGCCCCGTCGCGTTCGCTGCTGCTTTGTGTCTCTCTGTCCCTCCCTGTGTTTGTCCACCGCCGGACTTGTAATCTCCGCCTGGGACTCGAGAAGGCTTTGCGGGCGGAGCCGAACAACGTCAAGGCCCTGTACCGCCGCGCTGTGGTCTATCGTCTCCGTGATCGGTTCAAGTGAGTTTTTCTCTCTCATCAGTGTTATGTCCGTGTACGCCACGACAGGTTGTAGCACGGTCCTTCTACACAGCGGAAGGATTCAGATTGCTGCTTGCATAATAGTAAGTTCATACGTGACATGTTGCGGGTTTCCTGCCGCCTGCCTGGCAGGCATGACTACCACACGATACGACTCCGATCGTCAAGGATACAATGATGCTGTGCAACCTGCACCCAAGCCGCAACAACATGTGGCGGCAGAATGCAGTAACTACATAGGGACCTGATTTGTTCATCACACTGCCGTCAAACGTTCCCCTTGAAGCGCCTTCGATAGACTGATACACTTCATGAGGAATAAAACAGGGAGGAGGGACGAAGACCTACTCCCTAACCCTACCCCTAACCCAACTCCCCCGATTGTATGCTTTATCCAGCATGTTTACCTGTTTGAAAAATCCTGCTAAGGCTACTGTTCAACTTTCATACCCCCCCCCGCACCCGCCCGCCCACGAAACTACGCCGTCTTGTAGAGAGGCCTCTGTCGACCTCGGAAAGGCGCTGGCGCAGCGGCCTAACGAAGTCATGCTCCGGAAGGAGAGCGCTGTACTCAAGGTGCAGTAGCTGGGGATGGCCTTGTAAAACGGGAAGTGAAGCACGAACATACGTTTTCACGGTCAAAGGTTTGCCACCCTGTTGTTATTA